TGAGACCCAACATGAAGCATATTTTCTGCCATTTTATTACGGATAATCTGACAACAAGCTTTGTACTTATTTTAGTGGTTTCATATTCACATCCAACAAACTGCATTTTACGATTATGTATAAAAAGGCATGTGGGAGGCTGTTATATGTATACAATGTGGGCTATTACCTACATGTTCCTAAGGACTGAACTTCAATCATGAACATATAGTGGATTATACAGTTTAGTTTTGGGTCCTTTATCTTTGTGACTTCCATGGGTGAAGGGCTTCCTCTACTCTCCATAATGGAATAGGTCTAAACCCTCATACATGTACAATTATAGTGTTACTTAATGTACAACAGTGATGTGTTGAGGACCAATACATGCAAAATTCAGGATTCATAATTGTAGCTTAGAACCAGCAAGTTTTAAGAAGCCAGGGAACATGTCCATTAATTGACAACAGAAGGGCCTAGAAAGAAAGGCACCAGCAGTAGTATATTCAAAACTTGTGTTCTGGAATTCACATAGCCCTGATCATGAAGTGCTCACAGCTGCACGTTTTTTAACTGCAGGACCACATTTGTTAAATTGACCAACACTGTTCTATCAGTAATAACATAAATATACATGTATTATTTTAAGTTTATTGTACAAGAAACATTTAAAGCTAAAGTTTGATCGGCTTCTATTTTGCCTTCCCTGGTTACTTCTTTCCCCCTCTCCAACATGCTATTGAAATTTGACAATAAAACCTATTTTTTATTACATATTTTATATTAGTCCCAATGTTGTCATCACTGAGGGGTCTATTCACAAAGCTGCCGAAGGATCTGGCCGTAGCTTCGGCCGATCCTTCGGCTGGCTTCGGCCCCAGGACCCCTTCGGTTCAGGAGAACCGAGGGGGTGCTGTACGGGCTATTCACAATAGTCCGTACAGCTCCCGATCACGGCCGAGCAGCTCAGTCGAGCGCTCAGCCGTGCTGAAAGCCGAAGTTGGCCGAGACAGCCTGCTTCTGACAGCTGGGCGGAGCCAGCCGTGATCTTACGGCTGGCTCCGGCAGCAGAGCCGCCGGACAATAGGAAACTATTGGGCGGAGCTAGCTGTCACTGCTAGCTCTGCACAATCGTTTTCTATTTACTTTTTTCTACTTTTTCCACTCTTTTTCTGTTCTGCTCGGTGCCTCTGAGGGACCGAGCAGAACAGCCGAGCCAAATGCCGCTCGGCGGCATTCAATAGCTACCGATTCGATACTGCTACCCCGCTGTGAGCCCAGAACTTTTCAGAGCATACAACCGCAAGTATTCTGGAAGTCATTGTAAATCTTGCCTAACCTGCTATATGTGTTAGTGCTTGCTTGCATGCTGCTTATGTGTTGCTGTCTCACACGCACACCCACTAAGCATCCCCAGCTGATCCGGATTGCCTCTCCTTCAGTTAACTATAACTGCTAAGAGACGTAGGACTGAGACTTTCTCTAAAGCTGCATAGGGGTACATTAAGTCTGATATTGGAGATTATTTGAGCTATCCATATATTTCCTACATGCTTGCTACCTGCTGATAACGCTGCATAGTGGTGCAATAAGTCTGAGATTGGAGTTTATTCGAGCTATGCATATATGTGCTACATGCTTTCTACCTGCAGATAATACGGCCTACATCTCCAATGTATGCATCTGTTTTGTTCACTAGAGGTTAACCCTTAGCTACTCATACTGCTTGCCTCCCCATTTGATACTCCGCTCGCTGGTACCGCGCATGTACAGCTTGCCACATATGAGTTTGGGGTAAGGGGTACTACCCTTGTATCATCCTAGCATAATTCGCACCCCAGTAACAGGAAGTATATGATGAGTGCGGTCTCCCTCTAGCAGTTAATGTAATTGGGAGCCGCTCACTGACCTTCCTTATTCCACAATCCCCCATCAGTTCCGCAGCTGTGATCCAGTTAGACACTTATCACTGGTCCAGCCTTGACAACGGCTGATTTCAGCCGATATACGGCTGAAATCAGCCGTACCAGCCTGAAGTGAATAGCCGAACAGTTCGGCTCACTTCACTTCTGATCGGTCATTCACTCGGCTGCCCTCGGCAGCTTTGTGAATAGACCCCTGAGTCCCTGTACTTCTCTATACAATGCAGACAGATCATGGGTGGTGGGAGAGGCTAGCAGGGTGCAGTACATAGCTTACTGAAAACTGTTAGGGTCTCTCAGGAAAGTGACTCTGAAGGGACTTGAACCCGTGACCCCTGGTAGGACTTGAACCCACCACCTCTGATAGGACTTAACTTGTTAAAGGTTTCCCGGGATCCGATCATGCTGCCAGCTTCAAACAAGTACTTGGGAATAAAGAGTCACGCCAAATTGTGTATTCACTATATATTCAAACCTGGGCTAGGATGGCCACGGCAGATATATATATATATATACAGGTATTCCTCACTTAACAACCGAGTTCCGTTCCTACGACCAGGTCGTTAAACGGATTGGCCGTTAAGTGAGGAACTCTATACAGTACTGTACTGCATTAGTACAGTACTGTATAGCGTTGCCGATGTACAGTACCGGACAGTGTACTGTACATCGGGCAATGAAAATAGTTACCGGGACCCGCAGTGAAGATCAGAGGACACCACTTCCGCCGGGGAAACACCGCACTGACGTTGATGCGCAAGGTCGGAGGTCGATCGGCGGTCCGTCGTAAGTGCGAGTGGTCGCAAAACAGGTAAGTCGGTAAGCGAGGAACATCTGTATACAAAACTAAGCAAGGGATGGCGCAGCATAAACCAATGCACACATATAAATTAATATGTGCTACTATGGGTCATAGAACGGTCACACAGCTGGTTACAGAAAATTAGATAAGAAGACAGAGTTTTAATGATACATGAATGCAGCTGCAAATAAGTGAAAGCGGTTCAAGGCCAGTTTATTCAGAACCTTCTAAAAAGCACAGTTTTACTTGCTCAAAATATTAACTATATACAAAAAATAAGAGAATAAGATTAATTCTCCTATGAAAAACATCACAGTGCCCTGCCTCGGTACTTCTCTCAGTACCCCACCTTACCCCACTGCCTGATACAAGCAGTGGGCTGGCTCTTAGGAACAGCTGTACAAATATAAAAATGCATTTATGGGTGGATATCAGTCTGGAGGAGTGGGTGTTCCTGGCAGACTGTATTTGTGTTCAGACTGGCCTAGGTATCACCCACATGTGATACAGAGCTTCCATGGTTGAACTTGATTGCATTAAAAGCTTATAATTGAAATGAATGGGTCAGGGAAAGTAAGGCTGGGGAGGAAATTACTAGATACTGGATGTCCTCTAGTCAGGAAATGAGGTGGGCTTCTGACTTGCTGCCACTCCTAATGCACACTTTGAGAAGCTGACAATGTGCCGTGAAATCACACAAAGCAATTTCCCAACAGAAAAGGGGCCTGTACAACTGACTAAAGTAAGACTATCAGGATTATTCACAAAAGGGTGAAGAGTTTGGAGAGGGCAGGGGAAGTGAACAATCTAGGACAACATAGCTGAAGTGCAAAGTTAACTAATTTTTTCCAAATCAGCTATGTTGTCCTAGATTGTTCACTTCTCCAAACCCTTCAACCTTTTGTGAACAACCCTGTAAATGTAAGCCTGGAATTCAGATTTAAAAGAAAGTAATAAAACATATCAAGAACTGTATAGTAACAAATAAGTGAAATCTTTCTGTAAGTTGTATTTATATCGCATTTTTAGATATTTACTAATATTTTTTCAAATATATCCTGTGATTTGGAAGTAAATGAATCTTTTGGAAACCTACACATCCAGTTTTCAGCAAAACTTGTCCTAAAGAACTACATAAAGCAACCGGCCACTGTCAGAATACCCGAACAGAGCCAGCTCTGATCATACAAAGATTTTCCGGCCAGTTCCTTCAATCAGCTGATTGAGGGATGCCAACCGAAAGGGTGCCGACAGTGGTACACACTGTGAGAATTTCGGGCGGTTCCTCAAAAACCGGCTCAAATTCACAGTGTATGGGCAACCTTCAGAAATGTGCAACAATGTGTCCTCCACTTCTGTGCCCAGTTCCAGTTATCATCAATTAAAAAGTTCAGACCCCACCACATATTTGTCTGCTGCAGGCTACTCTGCAATTGGCAAGCTGTTGAGAAATTCCCACAGGAATCTACAGGCCTGAAAACGAATTATGGCAGGCAAAGGGTGGAAGTGTGCCATCATCCACAGGTTTTATTTTAAGATACAGTACCTACATTGAATTGCGCATCATTTTGCTCATCGCACCCCAAGCCTTTTAGATTACCTGTTAGTGTTGCAGAAGAGGTATTCTTAATCACATTAATTCTTCTAATTCAAAATGGTTTTGAAGGTTTAAAAGTTTACATCAGAAAATGAGAGGGAGCTAGTCACAAGCTTTAGGAAGCAGATACACCCACTTCACATGTAAGAAACTTTGTGAAGTCTTGTTTCAGTTCATTACATAGAGCTTGAATTTAAGTAGATTGATTGGGCTTTCCAACATCAACACATTAGCCATGTTTGCTGAATGTCATTAGTTAAAGTATTGACTACAATTATTCATGGAAACTGCTATTTAAAGTAAAGGAAATAATCGAATTGACAAGTTTCCTGGTGCAGTATGTATAAAATGCACTTGCAATTAGTTCAATGGTGTCCAGTGAGCAGCTTTGTTCATTCTGAAGACAGATAAATTGTATTTTTTTCTTTGTTTATCTTTTATATATCTTCCTAACTTCCAACTATCTCTATTAGACATGAAGGCACCTGATTAATATTATATAAAAAAAAAAGGAAAAACAAATGTTTTATATATTTTTTTGTTAATACTGTGTGCCATACTTACAATTCCACATGTAGAGTTTCAGCATAACTGTTATAGCTTTTTAATTAAATATTCATGTTATAAGGAAAATGCATATTATTATTTATACAAATATGATTTTGTGGCATATATTTACTTTTTTGTCTTTTTTTTGTAGGGTCGATGCATGAACTTTTCCAGAGTGCCATCCAATTAAAAGAAGATACAACTATTTTTTAGTCAAGATAACACTTAAAAATGCCTTTGACATCATATGAATGTTTTGTTCAAACCTCGCAATCTTGTCCACAATAATTGATTGGCAACAGCAATGTTTGCTGCCACCCACTGCATTTTCTAAGCATAACCATTACAGACTTTACAGAAAAATATTTTTTTTAAATGCACTAAGAAACGGTTGATCATAAATTAGCCAGAAGCCACCAGAATTATAATGGCCAATGGACATTGTAGCCACAACATTTCATTGTGTGGAGAAGCAAAGCTGTTGGGACACAAAGCCAGTGTTTCAATTTAAATAGGGACTTTAGGCCAAAAGCAGAGGAAATTATTCCCACCAGGCCAAACAAGTGCAAGAGTTCATTGGCTGATAGCAAAGTCATGGAACAAAATATTTTCCAATGCTCCAAAATGCCTTACGGGTACTTCCTGACTAGAAATCTTGCTACTGTAACACTGAGAAGTGCACACGCATGACAAAATGTAGACAGAATGCCTTGAGGTAGTAGTAAGCAGAAAAGATTTCGCCTTTTCAGATCTGAAGACACCTTTCTTTCATTATGCACCAGAGACAGGAGGGAAATTAATAGAGCGTTATCTTGCAAGAAGACAGCCTTTAACCAAAGATCTTCAGCGGAGTTTGAGGGACTTATACATCAAGACCTTGACACTGTGGCTGCTGGATCACATTCCCCATCACTGTCTGCAAAGTTCAGTAGTGCATGAAGAGTTATTAGCTGTATACATACCTTGTAGTTATATTTTTTATCCATACTGGATTCATTTCCTGAGACATTAAAATTATATATAGACAAATACTATTGTGGAAGATTCCCCAACCCCCTGAAATCTCCAAGGGCTCTTCAGCGTCACAATTCAGCAACTCTCTTTGCATGAGAATTTCAAACTTTAATTAATATAATTAAAGGCAACAGCAAGCAGCCGCCTGTGAAGATTTTGCTCATCTTTTTTATGCCTTTTGACATTGAATGACCTACCACTGTATGCGCATTACTCGTAGAGATTGTGCATTGGCCAGGATTCAGCAGTGAAAAGGCATCCTTCCCTCAATTGATAATTTAAACCTACACAGGCGTGCCTCCCATCACAAAAAAATGTATTTATTCTAATTTTTTTTTTTTTAAAGAAAAACAGCGTTGTGTCACGTTGACGATCCTAAATTATGTTAGCGTGAGCGGAAACACTGTGGGGGAGGAAGAAGGCAGCAGCTGAAGAAAAAGGCTCAAATGATCTAGTCACTTTCGATACTGTACTTCAGATGCAAAATGGATATTCGAGTCGAAACCTGACAAAGCGCGCCAGCTTTGATGTGAACTGGTATAGACAATGACCAGTGGCTGGGTCAGTGGGATGTCTCTCTGCGAGCAGGGAGGCTTATCAAATGACACTAAAAATAAGTTCAACAACCATCACATTTGAGGGGAAAAGGCGAACATTTCACATTTGGTGGGCATGCATGTGCGCAAGATGGGAAGAGCTATGCGAGGCGTCCTGGGCTAATTATTTGCCCTGTGCTCTTCATCAGAATTGCAAAGGACATAAATAATTCTGTTGGTCGATGTCCAAGCACCCGGCCCTGTCTATGATGGAGAAGAGCAAAAATATTTCTTTGCTTGCGGCCCCTACCCCCTTTGTGTATCAAAACTACTCTAAGAGCAAGGCAGTGAGAAAAGAAATTCATTATCTGTATGTATTGTCTAGATATTTTACACATTGCAAGTCCACATATACATGGATGAATAATATCCAGACATAACGATGAAGCCTTTGGATAACCTCCGGGTGCTGGAATGGTTTGGTGCTCCGTATATGATTTCACATGCTTTCAATTAAAAAAGTGAAAATGGTTTGCTAGCTTATGTATTTATATTATGTAAAATTCTATATAAAAATAGCTGTAAATCAATTTACAGTATTTATCAGGAAACTTTACACATTGCACAAAACCTTTTTCCACTGCATTTCTTTCCAGTACGTGTGCACCACAATCCTGAACATCATATTTTTTTCTGTTAGGTTTTCATTTACAGTGGTAGAATCAAACTTTTTATCACAAGTGTATTTTGAGGCAAACCAGTACAATATACACCTACCCATATCTACAGCCATTAGTTTTTTTTATGTGTCTGAGCATTGTTTCTGAATTATTTTAGGCTGAAATGTTACTTTATGCTAAAAGAAAATAATTTTTTTATGCTTTGTTAAGGAAATAGAAAAGAAAATTATAGCTAATTACCAAAGATACCAAATATTTGTTTACAATTTCCAAACTTTATTTGTATTTTGTTTTCGTTTTTTTTTAAGCAAAAAAATGTTGGCTCTCGCGGCTGTAAAATTTCTTGAGGTCAAAGTTTTCTTCAGTTTTTAGGTCACATTTGGTACTTTAGACTGTCATTTTTATGTGTCTATAAATAATGACAATGTTTTTGAATCATAAGAATGTCATTTGCATCTGAATTTTATAGCTGATATACTAATGACTTTATGATGCCAAAATTCATAGGCTGTGCTTAATCAACCGTAGCCATAATTCTTGCAGACCATTCAGTATTAATGCTGATATATTTATGTTTTTTTAATAAAAGCTCACATTATTATATATTAATATATTTGTCTCATTTTACAGTAACAACATATGTTACCATTACATATAAAAGAGAATGTGCTTTCACTGTGAATGAACATGTATGAATAGATTAAGTTTTATCTGACAAATTAGTGTATTGCATCACAATTTATTGTTTTATGTTGCTATTTCATTATGCTTATATGAAAACAATGTCAACTCTTAAAGCAAACACACATAGTAAAGAAAAACTCTACATTAGGAGTTCTGTTTCAATAAATGTGCTTGGATCTATTTAATAATGACCAACTTCAAAAAGATACATTAGTAATTTCTCTCCTGATTTAATATGCTTATCAGAAACTGGTGGAAAACAAAGTTGACAAAAAAATCACTTTCCTTTAATTTATATAAAAAAAAATAATGTAAGTTAGTTTAAGGGAAAAATTCAAGAAATATGGATTTATTATTATTATTTATTATTTTTATATAGTAGAGTGCTGTTATTTTATGAAAAACAATTTGTAAATCTCTGAAATAGGAATGTTTACTGGGTCCTATTTTATAGAAAATCCAAGATCAAGGA